CAAACTACTTACGCAAGCAGTGCCTGGTTTCTCAGCCTTGCGACTCAGGCCTTATTTCAGAAAGGTTTCTCTCTAGCTGACTACTTTGATGGACATATAAACTCGTCCACACCTTGTGTGAATATACCTGTGGAATAAACCTGGACTCTAAATCATTATTCGGTATCCAAGTTCATTTCTAAGTATCTATGAGGTATGGTGACAGAAACTTATGATTGGGAGCACACAACCGTTTAGCTAGATATTATGCAGTTGTGCCACTTTATAGCTAATGCGCTAAACGCCCATTCAAATCCATCATCCTCAAATTATTAGTGTAGCAAATGTATTATAAATATGTTTCTTTTCGATGTCATTGAAAACGAGGAAACGAAGTGCACCAGATTGAATTTCCCGTGGCAAAAAATCAACAACTTGTCAAACTAGCTTCATCTAATCGCGTACGAGTCGTCTTTGATCTTCTGTTCTATTTATAAAATCAAAATTCCGAATGAAATGTGTCGTTGAATTGTAAGGTGAATAGTTACAAAATTCATTACTGTCATAGAAACCATGACCTTGTTAAGAAAGTGTTGCCTCGAAGTGTGAAAGCTACCCTGCATTTAGAGAACACGGAAAAGGCCTGTAGCGAAGAATTGGGAGCTTCGTAGACTAATTCAAGATTCTAGGGAAAACCCAGCTCTATTAAGACCTATTCAGGCAGAAGACGGCAGTGGATCTGAGAGACAGCGTGATACCCTATGTACTTTAGCGACTACCATCTTTATGAACGTACAGCAACAGATCAGTGTCTTCAAACCTGTACTTCTAGATTCTGCAAACAATATCACGTACTATGTCATTCTCGTTCAAGAAGCTATAAGCTTGAATGCTCTTACTTGGCTAATAGACAGAATTCCTAGGTGGAAAAATTTCACTTTTTAATGTGGTAGGCCGCGTGTGGAGCAGTGGTCGGAGGCGCCCTGCGACACCAACGTGGAATCTACCCCCGCACCCATGGCCCACCAAGCCTTTCATCTCTTCGGGGTCGGCAAATTGGTACCAGACTCGTCTGAGACGACAGCAGCACTGGCTAGATACATCTGTATGCCACCACGAGTCATTGCAAAGACCAGATATGCATTCATTCACCTCCAACGATGGTTAATGATGTCGAATGCATGGCGCATCCCTCAGGGATTGATCAACGCTGGGAGCTTTATCCTTCTATCCTTTTAACGTCGGTTGTGTTGGTTTTGTTGGTCACTCGTCATACCTCGATTCGTAAAATTTTTCCTGCCCAGCTGTGTCATTCCAAGAGCTTATCATGATTTGCATATCTTTTTCAGAAGAAAATTAGTTTGATTGGTGATGTAGAACTCCATATGTTTTACAATCTCAAGGAAATCGTTCGTACTCAGAACATCCCCCGGAAATTGTTATAAGGAAGTTCAATGTAAGGATAGCAACACCACAAGGACGAGAATATACGACCAGAAAATTTGGATCAGAACGTTGCTATTAAAATGGAAATGATTTTGTACAGCTGCTTGAGGCTCTTCCATCCACGGAAAGTTCTTTTTCCAAGAAAAAGACCATCATTGTCAGACGAAGGAATCCCCAACACGATGGAGATCATCCATATGTCGACGGCAGATGGAGCATATATAATTATCAACGTACAATCACTATCAACAACAACGCTACCGTATAAAAGAACGCTGCCGAGTGACGTTAACTCATTGGAGCGGTGCTCCACTGCATTCGACTCGATGCAGTCATGAAGACACACATCGGAATAAGGAACAACTGTTGACAATCGACCAGGACCAATCCGTTTCCGATGCCCGATGCCGGTAATTCGATGAAGGTGCCGAAAAGTTAGCCGAATAAGCTTTCTTTTGTAATCCTCATAATATCTCACCCATGAAAGAATACATAACGAATGTCTATAACTTCTTAATCAAATTCAGTTAAACTTTAAACGTTAAACTTTCTGTATAAGCTCTCATCTCATGTTCTTGCTTCGAAACTGTCTCTGATGGGCTCTGTAACACCTTCGTAAGAACTACTCGTCTTGTCCAACAGTTCACGCGCTAGATGAACTGTTGTAATCTGCATGTACTTTCCTATAGCTGTCTTGACACAATCAAATTAGCCTCTTCCAGAAATACACACCTCTGTGTTCTTGAAACTTTACTAAACCGACTTTCACTTAATCTAGGCGTAAATAATCAGTAAGTTTCAGTAAGTAAGGTCCCCAGATCAACCCCGCTGACGGGTGATTGCTGTGGCAAAAAGATCGATAGAAATAGTTGAGAGACGTGCGAAACAAAGGACCCGCATGGTGTGGTGGTGAACGCGTTACTCCCCGGAAAGGATAATAGCGCGTTCGTTCCCCACCATAGACACCTGCGGTCCAGAGTTTTGCAAATATCTCAGCAACGTTGTGGTTGTATTTCGCTTAGTAACCTGCCATGAAAATTATAGAAGGCAGAAAACAAAACGTTAAACATTGTGAAATCAGTAAGTTTCTTTGGATTGTTCAACTTACACGAGGTTGTTATAAAACTTCTATTAGGCTTAGGTTTCGACTTCTCCTTCCTTACAGCCGATGATGGGAATCGATGGTCCACAATCTTTCGTACTTTCGATATGGTCATCGGCTCTCAAGAAGACAAAGACGCCGAAACATTAGGTGAATAGAAGTTATAAATGTAACAACCTCGTCCAAGTTGAACGATCTGAAGGAGTTTGGGTGAACTCTGTAGTCATTCTTATACGCGTTAACAAAAAGTAATGCCACAGCATGGCAGTGTCACTTGCCTTCAGACGATGTGTAGAATTCGCCAACACCCTTCTATATCACTTTTTTGTCCGCTTGATCTTATCCGCTCACCCCTCCTTTGATTGGCATAGACTAGGGTAATGTTAACTAACTCTCACACTCCTGCATCGTCGACTTATTAAAGTTATTGTCAATCTCATGTAAACGCCATGCACTGTTAATCCAGCAACTCTCTCACACACTCGCCGCTCTCTATAATTACTCTACATAGGACACTACTGCCACATCAATTACCTACTTGTCATGCCGCTGCGCCTGATTCCATCGATATCCATTGATGTATTTGTGTGACGTGTGATTTATTCCGCTCAAACTTCTGCCACTCAGTAGAACCCTCTTCCTTATTACTTATTTACTTGGATGGTCCATCTGCACGAGTTGTGCGGATGTGTGGACTTAGCACATTCGCTATTCGTTTTTTTTTTTGCTTTCTCTAGCAATCGTCGTCCATGATGGTGGTTTTATTCGAGCATAGTGGCGCGTGCGAGCTTCATACCGTGATCTGTAAAGTAACTGCAGCTGCGTGTATAGTTGATAAATTTTGTTTACGAACACGTCCCACCCAACGTCTAATAGGCCGTCCAAGGGGACGTTTGCATTCTCGTGGAGTCCATTCTACAGTTCTTTTCGTCCATCCGTCGTCCGTTCTTCTCTTCTGTGACCGCCCCATCTATGTCTTGCTTTCGATGTATAATTTCCTGGATCTCGAAGATGTGACAGATTTCGAAGACTAGAGCTTCGCATTCAGGCTAGATATTGAGAGAGCCGGTTATATTTTAGAATACATCGCTCAAGCACTTTGTGACTTGTGCGGAGTATTCCTGAAGTGGTTGAAATATCAGCCCACGTCTCTGCATCATAGCAGAGCGCTGGGAGGACCGTTGAATCGAAGAGATGAGCGCGGATTTTTGGGTCCTCCAGTTGGTTGGTGGCTTCTTTGAGGTCTGAATGCGACCCAAGCTGTTCTCCTTCTTGCCTAATTTCTAATTCATGTTGTTCTCTATGTTCATTGCTCGCCCAAGGTATAAGTACGAGGTGGTCTCTGCAATCAGAGAGCCATCGAGTCCAATTTTGTTGCCTTTGCACCATGGGTTTTTCATGAACTAGGAAAAAGAGATCAATCTTGCCTTACGACAAGGATCAGTCGCAAGTCGCAATAACCACGCCGCTACAAAAGTTGAACAAGCTGTGCTAAGTACTACGAACCGCTGTCGCATCCATACTGGCAAACTTCTCGCATCGCCCATGCCACTTTTTGAAGCATCTCAATAAGTTCCTGTGTGAGAAATTATCTAGCAACCAAGTCGAATCCTAAACTGCGTTTAAGGAATTCATCGCATCTAGAAGGCCAGAAATTCGTGCAACTCGCATAAATACCTGGTTCCTCTTGTTGGCAAAATTTTTGGGTTCCAAAGATCTTTATTTCCACCAATAACGTTTATTCTGAACTGAAATATGCCACATCGAAAATGCGGATTGAAACCAGATATTAATTTCGGAAGATCCCAATACCATTCTGAGGAATACTGAAGGTTTCACTTCTATCTCTGCTAAACTTGAAAAAGCAACTCACGCTCTCCTTGAGAAGAATAAATGCTTGGTGCAGGACCGTAGCGTAAAATTGGACAGATGCCAATACACAGCAAAACCTTCTCTTCATTCCTTTTCAACCATTATTTATTGTTTTTCATTCAATGCTGACACTTCCAAAATAGGAAGTTCTTTAAAACAATGCGCCATATGACAGAATGAACTGGCCAAATCATCATTAATTGAATACTGAAAGAATCTACACGGCAAAAGGTGATTTCCAAACACAAAATATCACAATGTTGAAGTATTAAGTCAGTACTATAGCAGTCCTAAGTAAAATTTTTTTCATACATTCTACGAAAATCAGGAACGAATGTGGCATACAACGAGCCACAAATTATGAAGCAAAGTACACATACTTCGCTTTATAAGAAACAAACCTAAGCTGAGGCCAGGTTGGTGAAGGAAGCTTCTAGATTGAAAACTCACATGGAGCTATTACACGTGAAGAAATAGGAAATAAAACACAGTTATCGGCATCAACGTATAGCTAGTAAATTGCCTCACAAAAACGCAAAGTCCATTCCGGACAGCAAAAATACCTCGAAACTCTTGAAAAACGCGTTAGAAGAGAGAACTTTTAAGATTGTGGGGTATTGCATCCTGGTGCAAACGGATTTTGTTGTTGTGGTGCAGGAGTAAACTGACCAAACGGCTGCTGATAGTTGGGAAACGCTCCAGGATATGTTGGATACGGAGTGGCGAAGTTTGGTTGGTATTGTGGTTGGTAGAAAAAAGGCTGTGGCTGACCTAAGCAAAATTATCCGGATGATTACCAAAGGATTAGAAATTGTGAAACTGAAGCATTCTCCTGTCAACAATGAGAGATCATAGTTCACAATGACAAAAACAAAACTGATTTCAATCATGCAATTAGAAAACGCTTTGCTCTAATGAAGCAACTGCATTAAAAATGAAAGTATGTTAAAAGAAATACCACACCATATGGCATAGGTTGTTGATAGTACCCCGGATGCGACGTAGAACCTAGTTGTGGAGCAGGAGCCATATGATATATTGACGCCGAACCTGTGTCCGTGGCACCAGGAACAGCTGCAGGAATGTTGATTCATTGGAACACGGTAAATACAAAAAGCCGTTGGCTCAGATAATTCACAAAAAGCTTTTCAAACTTCTCTGCTTGTTGTGATAACGACACAGATCTTAGCAGCACACAAAAGAACAGAAACTTAGAGCACCAGTAAGACAAATTGGAAAAAATAGGCTGAAAACTAAAAAGCGACAGTAAAGTAGTAAAATATACCTTGCAGACTTTGCTGAGTTCGTGGAGGCGGAATTGGTGGCTCTACTTCAGAACGAACGCTTGGTGGAGGAGGGCGAGGAGGAGGCATACTAGAGGGTCCTACAAGAACATCAATGCACACTGGAAAAAAAATAAGATAGGAATCCTGTGAGAAACAGCCACAACACTGACTATCACCGGAGCCACCAGAGACAATATTTTGCTGCATTTGACGCATAAGATCTTCCTTTTCTGTTTGACGAGCAAATGAGAAGTCGCTGACTTTCTGTTGAAGCCGTACCAAAATAGGTGTGAGGTCGTTATAGAACTAAAATTAGACCTTGATAACAAAATAACGAAAACCTGGTGATGGCCGAATGGAATAGCAAGTAGAACTTGCCTTCGTTCCCTCTTCCAAATTCCCTTTTAACTCATAGAATGCGTCGTGACCAGAAGCAAGCATCTTGAGCATGCGTTCTCTCTCAGCACCAGTACCCGAGCCTGACTTTTCTCCAATGAAACGATTATTCCAAGTCTGGAAACGATTTAGTCTTAGTTCTAATAAGACTGAATCGAAAAGATGAAATTTGGAAACATAAATCACAAACAAAAGAGAATAGTAAAGAACGGGTGAGTTGTGAATTAACAACAAAATCACCTGGATTTCTGCCATTACATGATCTTGGAGCTTGATGCTGGCTTCTACTTGCTGCTTTAGCGGACCGTAGATCTTAAAGCAGAAGAAAAACCGAAGTTTATAAGAGAATGGAGAACTAAGTAATTTACAAATGATGGTTTAGATCCAACAAAATGATTTATTAACGAACAACCTGTTGGATTTTCTCCTTAGAAATCTGCTCTTCATTCAAAAGCTCGCTCTCTGCCATTGCTCGAAGGAAATCGTCAGCAATGTCGGATCGAACAGATTTCAGATCCTGTATATTTTTACAAATATTAGTTCATTTCGACAAGGGTTGCTATGTCATGTTCTCAATAATGGCAACCTTCTCCAACTTTTCTCGTTGCACTTTTATCTCCTGAACTTGACCCATTAAACCACGAAGTTTGGAAACAGCTTCCGATGTCCCCGTTACAGCATGCTGCGTTTGACCAGGAATAGCTGACCGTAACTCCACCTTGAAATGTTCTACATGAAAACGTCGCGGCCAATGGAAAATCTTTAACTAACAGTTGTGATAAACGCGATATGAACTCACTTCATTTTTGCTTAGCATTTCAATAGCAGCTCGATTAGCCTCGAATTTATCCTTGACCATTTTATCTGCATTCGACGCAGTGTGAAGTATACCGCGGTACTTTCCTACTTCCTTAAATGCTTGCATAAGTTTAATGACTAGCTGATAGCTAAATTCGATAAGTACGTAAAGTGAAACCATCCAATCCATGTGACCTAATACCTGTAGCAATGGACCAGTCAGTTGTTCACTACTCATTCGCGACCATTTCCCACCAAATTGTCGACGAAGTGTGTCATCACTTTCTTTTTCTTCCGCAAGAATACGATTAGTCTACGAATACAATATTCATCATTGCTAATAAGAGTGTTAAGACTATGTTACTGCCTGCTAGATCAAGCACAGCGTAGACTATTTGCGACTTCATGTTCACCTCGTCTAATATCTCCTCGTTGCGCTTGTACAAAGCAGGCAATTCAGTAAACAGCCGCTGTAATTCGGTTATACCACCAGCCTGTTTAACCTGAAAAGAAAAAAAAACTAACATAACATAAAAGACATGATTTTTTAAAGATTTTGAAGTAAAAGTCAATATTCTTGCACAGGAGTCCAAAACACCAGCGCGAAAACTCGAGGCTTTTTGGATAAATGCCAAAAACCCTACAATGAATAGCAGGGATGAATGCCCGGAGATCATACATGACCTGATCCCGTATGTTCGCATCGATTTTTGATGTGGGATGGTGCAGTCGTCAACCACATGCGACTATAAACAGCTGTTCTAAACTTCCTCATTGGAAGTCACGAAAAAGCGGTGGGTTTTTTCAAGAAGTTGGTGATTATGTAATTACCAAAGAGTTTTTCGTCTTTTTGTAAGTGTTATTGAAGCGTTTGGCCTAGTAGATTGTATATCAGTATACCCTTCCAGGTTCTGAAGAAGGCGATACTGCCGAAACGTCAGCTAGCGTTGTATCGTATTGTGTTTTTCTATGGAAGTAAACGTATGCTGTTTAAAAACCTCGCGATTGCTGAACAAGAAAACGACACATTCATAAAAGACATGATTTCCTTCCATACTACATACCTTGGCAGATTTCTGTCTAATCGATTCAGGCAAAACATCCATTGAAGTCACATCATCCAGTGCTGCAGGCAAATTCAGAGATGCGAGAATACTGAAACGAGACTTTCAATAACGGTTTAAATCGTCTAAGTCAGCAAATCATTAACGTCTAAGATCTTTTCATTCCGAATCTGTATTCGGATCAAAATCACTGATAGATTGGCACCGGATTGGTCAGAAGGCATACTGGTTGCCCCCATATGGCGAACACGGGCCAAACGTAGACATAAAGCAACCTACTACTTGATTTTCTTTGTAACGCAGGTAGTTTAAGATAATATCAGCAAGGAACGAAAATGACAAACTTGAGCCGCAGCCAATCCATACGCGAGCTCGGCAATTTTTATGGACGATAAATTCAAGAAGACGAAACTATTCGAAGAGATGCTGGGAGCCCCAAGAAGTGTCATCTAGGAAAGTATTATCGGCATTACCTACCCTGCTCATTAATGAGCGACTAAAGCATAGAGTACAAATGTAGTCCAGTGAGTTCTGTTGCCTGCAAGTCGGAAGTCCATCGTTTATTTCTATTATGCTCGATAATACAGGATAGTCTTGGGATACTGGCTCTCGCCTGTAGGTTCAACAGCTGTTATCCATCGGTTATCGATCCACCACACCCTAATTTTCGTACGAAGTTCTCGTGGGTAGTCACAGTTTTGGCGAGATGATATGGTATCGCCTTGTCAAATCTCTACTTCAACGTTAAGGAAGATGTAGAATGGTAAAAATTTGGTTATAAAACCGTTATACGGCTCATGAAAGAACAACGAACAACGTAATACTATGACGAAAAGCATCCGGCGAAACCCATTAGGACAATCAAGCATTGCCGTAAAATTCCACCAACGACTGGCCAACCAAATTATTCCAGTAGCTATCTAGTTGAGTTCCTACCACACTCACCGACCAGCTCGTACAAATTTTGTGAATAAGTCTTCATACTGGATAAAACAAGAAGACAGCGTGTAAACGCCGTTTGCGTTCATATGTACGTAAACTCTAAAACTATCGAGATTACTTGCAATAAAACATTCTGAAGTACTAAAATTACAGATGCTACCGTCTTTAAATAATGGAAGAACTCATACTAGGTAATGAGAGAAGGAAATTTATTTTACATCGTTACTATGAGAAGATAGCGGGCAAGCAAAAATGGTTCAGCTGTTTCAAATTAAGGTAGAACAGCTAGACCATCATGAATCACTGTAATACCCATCGAAAAAAATGAAGCACACACAAATGTTCAAGATGTCCCGAAAAGAGCTTCTGTCTGATCAGCAGTTCTATGTGGGGACCGAAGATACTGGAAACTAAACCGATTCCAAAAAATTCTGTTTAGTAAGCAGCTCGTGAAACTGATCTTGGATTACAAATGTGCAAACAATTAGCAGTTTCTCAAAATTCTTAACTTTCACGGGTCCATCAAAAATTGGTTGAACAGTACAAAAACTGCAAAAATAATTGGTTTTAGAGCAGCAGACGAAGGAGAATTTGTCCAAACACCACGTGAAATGATTCTCGGTCTTCACTTGCACCGGCTGTTTTATCAAGTGTGCTACTACAGTAATCTCAGCAATTAGAACATCAACAAGAAACACACCCGTTCATGAGTTGTGTGTGTTCTCGTAATCTTCCTGTCTCAATATTGACAAGCTCTCCTTTACGGCCTTCATAGCATTGGATAGCATTGTGAATCTGCACCGGAACGACGCTTGAGAACATATCTGAAAGAAACACGTTTTTGAGCATTTAGTTGGTCACGTAGGCAAATTGTGATTTGCCACTACTTCTTATGATAATTATATGATATATAACAGGGGATCGAATGAGCATGTGAAATTAGCTAATCTACAAACCTTTGAATCTCGGAGAAAGAGGATGAGTAACGGGGAGTGCTTTGACCAATGATGCGCGCGGCAAGGCAGGTAGTGAACGAAAATCAGCTATTCGTTCATGGTACTGCAACAACAGATTTAAAAGGACGAAGAAAACTTGCGGCTCATTCTGGAAGAACGAAAATAACTCAGAAATTGAAAACAATGCCTATTTTGCTCACAATAAAGTCGTTGTCTTTCTTCGCAGCCGCATACATTTTTGCAATTGAGGTGAGTTGCTCAGACAAACAATCTGCAGGAAGGTATTTGGCAGCGGTCTCAGATAACCGTACTGCTTCACCCAATCTGCTTAGCTGCTCACCCATCTCACGCTGTTCTGCGTTAACCTGAAAAAAGGAAACCCTTGCAAATGCCAGTGGACAGCGTAATCAATGATAGCGCAACTGCCTTTATTGGCACACAAAAGTAGTTTTCTAACTCACCGCTGCTTGATGCATCTGTGCAATAGCCTGGAATCCTAAAGTTTTACCAGAAACCACTTGGTTCCATTCCTATAAATATTGTATAATAAGACAAAAAAACTTCAACGGGAAAACATAATTTAATACAGAGGTTACTCAGTCTAACCTTATCCCACAATCCTTTCACTGCATCCCTGCTCATTGCTTTCTGTGCGTCATGATAGAACTCCGCCGTTTGCGCAGCAATTTTAACGAGAGCCGTGGGCTTCATTTTTTCTTCAAACATCATATCATTAACCACCGACTTTCAAAAACAAAAGACTATTTTGACGAAGAATGCACCTGTCTAGAGAATGAAGCCCAGGAGAACACCAAAAAAATATTTTTCCGATCAAATGGGAAAATATACCAATGAATGATGAACCTTTATATGCCTTGATATAAATAGCTTCCTGCGCTTGAGCAAGCATTAAAGCAGAAAGTGCTGCAAGGGTGTCCGGCATCAGGTCTGGAGTAGGGTCATGCTGAACCATTCCTAGTACGGAATCTCGTAGACGGGCAAATATACCTATAACAAAAAAAGGGAAAGTTGTCTTCAGTTTCTCTGGCTAAGCCTTCTGTTAATCACCATTTTCTGCTCAAAACAGTATATTCTAGAAGACTTTGGTCGATTAAACTGAAATAGGAAGAAAGGTAACTGGTCAAGTTCGCAGCCAAGTACTTCAACGCTGCATCCAAACTCTACACAGAAAACTTTCGAAATGAATTTCGTACAAGACATTACGGCAAAAAAAGAAACAACAAAGAATTTTTGGCAAATTCAATTGAGAAAGCACATTCATTCTATGGAAATAATCAAGAGCTGAACAACTCCAATTGGCGTCTCCAAAGGAGTCTACAGAAGGAAACACCTATCACCCATTTGTCATATCTATAATGGACGGTTGTAGTCTACAACAAACAAGCATATTCCTCTACGAAATCATGGTTTTTACTCCAGGTTTTTATTCCACAAACGGTATCCCGTCTCAAAACAACGTGGATACCTCGAAAGTATATTACTTGCTATCTGGAAACTTCTTTGTAATCCGACGTGGATATTATTTGTTAAGTGTTCAGTGGATGATCTTAAACATACATTTATTTCTTAATTTAACCCGATCCGTCTCACAACTACTGTGGGAATCCCGGCACGTCTTGTATTCCATTCCTTTTCTCATATCCACCATTCTCCAAGGTCTTCGGATTCTTTCTGCCTGTGAGTTCGGTTGATGCTTCAGGATGCTCCTTTCAATGCAAATGTCGTTGAGAGCTTGTCGAGTTAATTCACCCTAGAGTTCAGATTGCTAGGCTAGAGCGTCCCCTATTAGACGGCACAGACTGAACCATTCCCAGACAAGTTCGGTACCAATCTCTCGACACTGAAGGGATAAGTACCCTGGCAAGGCCCTGCGGGGTCGAACCAGCACTGTCTTCGTGATGATCGGCATCATTACCAGTGCCTCTCCCCCTATAACATATATTTAACTACAACTGTAGGCGAAATGATCAGTGTTAGAAGACACATATCTTTCAAACTTCATTTATCTTGTTGTCATTGAGCAGTATTTCGGATTCTGCCTAACCGAGAATATCAAAAAACAAGACTCTTCTACTCTATTCTCCTAAGCCCAACGTATATTGTGGTCCCCTTGTATTTGTAATAAGAGAAAAAACCGTTCTAAAACATTTGTCGGCGCCCTAGTAGAAGCATTGATGTAACAAACAATGGACTGGAGAAAGAGTTGTAGAACAACAACATAGTTGTTCTAGCATTTGCTAGAAACCAAAAACCCATACAGGCAGAGATCTTCCTACTGATTCAACAATACGACATTATTTTTTGGTCTTAACCGTTTCATTTGCTGCCTACTCTTTTTAATAGCAGGGCATATTGCGAAATGTAACTTCAATGATGCCGAGATGTTTGCAAAACTCCGGACCGCAGGTGCCTGCGACGGGGAACGAACGTACCTATTGTCCTTTCCGGGGACTAACGCGTTCACCAAAATATCTCAGCATCATCGAAGTTATATTTCGCAATATGCGCTGGCATTAAAAAGAGTAGGCAGCAAATAAAACGGTTGAGATTGTGATTACAACTAAAGCCTCAGCTTAACTGGGTTCATTACCGATTTGGGCTCCCCAGACCAATCTCGCTGATGAGTGATTGCTGATGGCAAATATCGATAGAATTAGCTGAGAGACAGGCGAAACTAAGGACCCGCATGGTGTGGTGGTGAACGCGTTACCCCCCGAAAAGGACAACAGCGCGTTAGTTCCCCACCGCAGACTATTTTTTGGGTTCCACTCTCAGGAGCACCTCTTACCACGATGAACTGCTAAAATACTGATAAGGTTCAAGATGCATTAACAAATTCCTACAGCAACAACTTCTTAAAATTGTCCGATTACCTTACCTCAAGTGTTCTACAAAAACGAACACATCCTTTAGACCTAATCCAAGTTTCGACTAGTGGGATGAGAAGCCAAAAGAACGAGGATGACTAATCACCCTTCTTGGAAGAATACAATTATCTCAGGCCTCAAATGAAACATGAACATAAAAATATAATGTATATTTATAGAGTCACTAATAAATTCTCTGCAAGTAAACAAATCTCCAACCGCTCTCGAAGGTTTTTAGGAAAATTACTGAAAACTGCAGAGAAACCTTCGCTTTCTCAGCCTTCCTAAGAAGCCCTAGACCTTTCATAATTATATGGATTGATGCATACCTGCACTTTGCTGAAAGAGTTTAGCGGCGGTTTTCATCTCATCGTCGGTCAACAGCGGTTGAGAAGCAGCGATGTGAGACATTAGTGCACCACAATTAAACAGGACAGCAGCGCGTTCAAATGAACCATCCGATAACGACAACGATGCCTAAACAACGGACCATAGGGATAAAGGATAAAGTTCGGCGCTGACTAATCCCTGAGGGATGCGTCAAACAATCGACTTCTTTAAGTGTCCTTGAAGGTGACTGAACGCATATATGGCCTTTACAATAACTCGCAGTGGCTTATTGATGAATCGAGCTAGCACTGGCATCATTCCAGACAAGTCTGGTAACAAACTGCCGACCCCGGAGGGACGAGAGGCTTGGTGAGCCTGGGGCGCAGAGAGCGATCCCAAGTGTACTGCAGAGCGTCTCCGAACACTGCGCTACGAGCGCCACAAGGATGTTTTATAGAAGCAATCCACTGAAATGTTGTGATGATCACACTCAATAAACTTATCGGAACTACTAGTTCACATCGGTTTCGATGATAACATTGCTTGCTAATAGATGAACACCAGCATGAGTGAGAGAAAAAGGTTAACGGACCTCTTACCTTGCTGAAAAATAGACTGCCTTTATCGAACGCATCTTTCCACTTGAAAACGACTGGATTTTGGGTGGCCGAGATGATGATTTTGTTTTCGATTGCAACGAGTTGGTCATAATATCTAAACTATACCAGGTTCCCAAAACAATTTAGTACCTTAACAACCAGCAAAGTTTAAACATGCGACATAATTCAAAGTATGCGTTAGGAAAACAAAAAGTAACGCTGGATACAAAGGAAATTACATCATTTCAGAGAAAACGACCTGTCAAGAAAAGACTTAGCTAGTCACCCGAGTTCAACATATTTCCAGGAGCAAGCATATCAACTACGGACGTAAAGCAGAGGTCAAGCAAAAGCGATTAGTAATGGAAATTTGGATGGACTTATGTCAAGTGTTCCAAAAGATTCACAAAGACGCCTTAGTTTTAATGGCAACGCATACTATTCCCTACACACTTGGATAATTAGATGGCTCGCCTTCACTGGTTGTGCAGGCCCCAACACAACTTCTACTTTTTCGAAGTTTTGCTGGTTTAGGCATTATGTTTCCTTGATGTCCCGGAGTCAGCCTGACCAAAGTCAGCCCCAGGTTGTCATCATCACAGGTAGACGTCGCCCTCGTGGATCAGAGGGAGATTTGCCACCACGCGACTAGTTTGATACCAGCACGGTGGTGGATTTTGGTATTGGTTTACTCCTAGCTGGGCTTCCTAGTGGAAACGTCAGGCCCATTCTCAGCTTTGGAGACCCTGCCGGGAGGAAGAATACCCTGCTGTACATCGCAACTCGACACCCAGGAATACCCAGTCACGATAAGGCGGTAAACCGTTGAGAGAACTTCCTACATAGCATTGCAAAAAATCTTTCCTCCCTACTTTCTCTACTAATCGTTTCATAAGCTCCATTCATAATCTTCACAGAAAATGTAGTTAGACAACACTTTACCGAGTGACAACATCAAGAGCTGACTGATGCTTATCCAGTGGTTGGCAACAAGCTTTAGACCTTAGCTTATTCAGCTCCTAAACTGGCACTTTACGAAGGAGTGAAACAACATGAAATGTCAAGAGCGATCTTTCATTTTGTTACAGATGAAAGATGAAGACCCTTGCCTGTACTGCTTCGGCGACTTCTGCCTTGTTATCGTTTGATGTGTTATAAACAGATTCGATATAGGACGTTAATGGCTTGACCAAATCGACATCGCTAGTGGACTTCAACGGCACAGCAAGGAAGCTGTACTTTGACATCTGAAAAGCGGATAACAGTGGAACAAAAATGAATGTGAGACACGACAACGACACAAGTATCACACATATATCATACAATGAGAATTAGTACCGGCAAAACCACGTAATCTCGACCCTAAGTGAAAATGAGAACGCCAGCCAACAAATCAAGTCACATTCACCCCTGGAAAGAGCAATAATGAGGTTTGATCCCCACCGCAGATAGTTGGAGTTTTGCAAATAGCTCAGCATCATTGTAGAAACAGACAAATTTCGAACCTCCGATGCGAAAGCTGATAAAGTAAGGCTTCAAACGGACATGAAGCACACCTTTACGTCGCTGTTCTAAAGCTTAGCGAAGAAATGCTTGTGGCAAACTTAAAGGAACAAGCGAAAAGGAACAAAATCACCGTCCATTCAAGGAAACCCGGGACACAAAACCGCTAATAAAAGAACTTCACACAAAAACCCACTGTCGACGAGCGGTGAGTCATCAGGGAGTGAAAATGCGACCATTGCAAGCAGCGTCTTCCCCGACGACAACTGCCCCTCTTGTGCCAGCACCTCTGAACTCCACGAGAACTAGTGACTGGGCCAGGATCCGTCTGCCCTGGAGCCTTGCTACAGACGCCGTCCGATCAGCATCGAGCAGCAAACACCAGATATTTGCTCGACAACGTATAAGACGAATGCCTATTTCAATACCCTGATAACAAACTATAGCAATCACCTTTTGTTCATTGATCGAGAATATTCCTACTATGACCAAAATAAAAGCGCACGACGCTGAACAGTGAGGAGACGTTACGTAAGTACATGGGCCGCAAGTACAGAAATCTGTCGTGACTACCGAATGCAATGATTCAAAAAACTGTGCATATTGGCCCCATTCTGTTGTGTGCATTGGTTTGCATATTTAATTAAGGGGAGGTTTTACTAGTTGCTAGCCCTTACGGGTTGTACAGAAATAACAGAAATAGAGGCAATCGATTCGCATCCACATATGAGTTGATACAAGGCCACGTTCTGTGTTATATCTATGCTGGCCCAACCTTCCGTCTGAACGAAATGCTAAACACTTTCAGTAGGACATATAGTGAATGACATTCATCGGTCAAAATATCGATTTGACAAACAAGAGGCATTCAGTTCGAAGTCTCATTACACTTGGCGACATTTTGATCTCAGATAAAGTGAAACGATGGATTACGGTATTCCTAAGAAATTTGGATCAATGTTCTCATGATCCTGGTGTGGCTAAAATTCTTAGTTGGAATAGTTCTGAACTACTCACAGCATTTTTCTTCGAATTGAACAAAGATTTGGTGAAGTGTCGGTGCAAACAGACAGGTTCTTCAAGGTTAAACGCCATTTAACCTTTTCGGGACAGCGGCCAGTTTCTCATGGCAGGGCCACTGGACCGAGGGCTATTGGCCCACAATTGAAATGCGCATCGAAATCAAGGCGGGCTGTCCATGGGCCTGCACAACAGTGACGGCTTACCCCTTCTATAAAGGATAAAGCATAAAGCTCTTGGCGTTGATCAATCCCTGAGGGATGCGCCATGAATTCGACTTCATTAAGTATCGTTTGGAGGTAATTGAATGCATATCTGGCCTTTGCAATGACTCGCGGTAGCCTACTGATGTATCGAGCCAGTGCTGCTATCCTCCCAGACAAGCCTGGTACCAATTTGCCGACCTCGGAGGGATTAAGGGCTTGGTGGGCCATGGGCGCATGGATCGATTCCACGTGTGTGTTGTAGGGCGCTTCCGACCACTGCGCCGCATGTGCCCCATTCCTTCCATAAGATTACTTTTCCCTTATTGGGTTCCCTCAAACATTTTCCGCATTCCTCTAACATCTACGTATCCGATGTTTCTTTCCGTGTATGCTCCTACCTTTTTTAAACACCTCCAATAGGTGCTAAAAGTCGTTCGCTACCTGACCACGGTGTCGTTAGTTTTCCGCGTGGGTTTTTCTTTCCAGTACTTTAAGTGTATTTCTGTGCCTCTTTCATGTTCTTTTATATCTACCGACTTCATTTCACCGTCCGAGAAGGTCTTTTTCAAGTACAGCGAGCGCATTGAGGACACCTATTTATGGCTTGTCCCTGGTGTAAAATCTCTGTTTAGCAAGCTATCCATTGGGTGGAAAAACTCTGGCATAAAAGCACAGTGCGGTGAAATAAACCAGAAAGAAAAACGTGTACATTGAAATCAAGATGTACAGTCACTGGTGTGCATCAGGATACATGTTAAAGTTTAAAGTTCAATGCGCATGGTCCCGCAAGGGTTGAGATGAAAAATTTTGGCATTGTAGACATGACTTCACACCTGGATATGTCATTAAATGTTTCTTTTTTCTCAACATTGCTGAATTTCATGGGTACAACTCCATCTATGAAGAGCGCGAGATTCAGAACACAAACAACGTGGATAGAAAAGTTTACTTTTCTGACCGTACTCATAGAGGTGTGTTATCAAATTTATGTTTCAAATGCAAGTTCGCCAGCGAACGATAAGCAGGATTCATTCTTTTCTTAATAAGCGAGTCTACTATCAAAGAATATTACTTTAGACTTGATTCGTACTAGGAGAGGGTCGAACCCGCAAGATCTATTTATGCATTTGAAGCTCTATGTTGTTAATACAAGCATAACTATGTATTAATGCTCGCACTAACAATTCAAAGGAATACGGTATATGTCGTGAAGCACACGTTATTTGATCGTGAAATTAAGGGAAGCTTAACGTCCACGGTGATCAACGACTGGATGTCACATGTACATCAGGCTAGTTACAGTAATTCGGGCGGCCCTCTGTGAAATGAACCCCTTCGGTAAGTCATTTTTCCAGTGTTTTCTAAGGACAAGAGTGAGTTAACTGGAAATCACGTGTTTTTGGTCGTCTCCGCAATTCAAAGCTTGTAAAGTTGCCTTGACTTTTCTTTCAAAAAAAAATTAACCTTACCTTTTTATGTATTGATTTGTCAGTAACTGTAAAATTTCCATGAATAGGCAACTATGAATTTGCTTCTACTCGACACTTTTGATTAATTTTGTGCACATGTTCATAAGCGTTTGCATGGTCATAAAAATTTGTCATTACACAAAAAGCAAAGTATACTCATTGGATACTTGGGTGGCTCGTCCTCACTAATTGTGTGCGCGCCAGCATGCTTTCCAGTTTTTTGAAGTTTTCCTGGTTTAGTCATTGTGGTTCCCTCGAGTCCCGAGGTCATCCTAGCCAAAACCTCCTTCAGGTAGCAGATAATCGCCGCCCTTGTGGATCAGTGGAAGGCTTGCCACCACTAGTTTAATACCAAAGCGGTGGTGGTTCCTGGTATTTGTCTACTCCTAACTGGGTTGCTTGATGGAAACGCTGGACTCCTTCTCAGCTTGGGAGACGCTGGCGGGAGAATGAATTCTCCCGCTCTACATCGCAGCCCGTCACCCATGAACACCTCCCAGCCACGATTGGGTGGTAAACCGTTGGGAGGAGCAAAGTATGTAAACAAGAAATTTTCATTCTTAGAAAACATTCCGAAATTAACAAATGTATTGAGAAAACCATTAACGAAAGTTGTGATTGCCCTTGTCACCAACAGATTCCGTAGGAGATTCCTCATTTGCTCTTACACATGAGTTTTGTTTACAAATGGTTTCAATAACTACATTCAGTTTTATGCAAGAAAATTCGTTAAGTTTTCATCTGGAAGAGATAATCTCTCTCTCTCACTCTCTGAAAAAACATGGCAGGGATTATTCATGGAACTTTCATTCGATTCGTTTCTTTGTACCCATATACAAGGAAGGATTTCGAATTTCATGTGTAGCTCCGGCTGCTGTCTTAGAATCCTGGCATTCTTTACGAATGTTATTGAATACTGGTCGAGTATATTCTCCCTGGGGTTCTAGAGATGCTGAAGCGTTCTTAGGTCTTGGTCACAGGCAGTCGCCAACTTATGACCCTAAACTTTGATCACCAAGTCTCCCATCTCTCCGGAGTCTGTAAACTGACGGCGAACTTGTCTGGAACCAGCTCAGTCCTTTCTGTCTAGAAAGACTATCCCAGGATTCAAAGGAGAATCGACTCAACGGGGGACAACGAAGTTCCTAAAGATGCGAAAATCCTCAAGAAGCAGCCCAACGCTGCACGTAAATACAGCCACAATAATACTGAGATGCTAGCAGAACTCGGAAACACAGCTGGGCTTCAAAACCACAATTGCACTTTCCCAGAGATCAAGATTTCTTACTCTAACGTCGCTTTCAGCATTATAAAAAAAAACTGGCTAACAGAAAGACAAAGAAGAGCATGGGTGGTGCAGTGGATAACATGTGAAAAAATGTGGTCAAGGCTCCTACGCTGGGGTACAAGGTTTCGCTCATATCTCAGCATCATTATGCTAGTATTTCACATAATAACTAGTAAAAGAAACAGTCGGTAAATAAAAATTAAGAATTGTGATCATCATACGCAAATAGCTCCAAGGCCTACGTGTACGGACCCGAGAAAAAGGAATGAATGCGAGAAGTGCTCGGTTCCGCACAAGATCATACGTTACTTCGGATCATGTTTAAAAGAATGCTTTTTTAAAATTTCATACATTCTCTGTTTTTTTCTTCGTGCTTTTGCATGTGTTCAAGAAATTTTCGTTCTCTCTACATAATTGAAAAAATAAACTAATCCACAGGGGAGGATACCACAGTAGCAGTGACGTCCTTCATCACGAGCACGGTGCTAGTTCGATTCTGCCCTGAGCTAACCAAGCCTCTCGTCCGCGCGGGATCAGGAAATTGGTACCGGACTTGGCTGAGAAAAAAGCCGCTCTCTGCGCTCCAGCCCGGCGTTCTACGACATTCAAGATGAAATGAAAATCCTCAAACAGCAACCAAAGCAACACGGAAAAACTTGGAAAATCTTCGTGGAGGATGGATGCGAGGAAACGAATAGGATCCGAGAAGTGCTGGGATCCGCGCAGTAGACGTGGACGGGTTATAAAAAAAAAAAAAAAAA